GCCATCTCCCATGAAACTGCTCAGTGCCAGTTTTGCCAGTTGCACTTGCAGCTACCATTGCATGGGCAAATTACTTGTGTAACTCTAAAAGAATGAAATAAAATAAAATGGAAAGAGGTTCCGCATTCTGTGTTGGATCTAGTGTAAAGTCCATGCATGAAAGCATGACTTCCCAGTCTTTCCCCTGCTACAGCAGCCTGAAATACCCCCACCTAAGATGCTGATCCTGGGGGATTGAGGGGGCAAGAGCAGCATAAGGGTGGAGTTAAGTGGCTGCTACAGCAGGGGGGGTATCAGCAAAAATCACCTCGCCCCTTGTACATGTGGATCTTCTCTTCAGAATCCAACCCTGTACATAGGCCATGGTAGGTGCAAAGGCCTTCCTGGGTCATAAAAGCTTACAAACAAGCATGCACATGTTGCACTGAAACACTCAAAACATTGCTTTGCTGTTGTTCATGACATCTGGATTGAGCCTAGATAAAATGATTCTGGCAAAAGAGAAATTTGTATTAAATGGGTGCACAAGATGTAAAATAGGAAGTTCAGAAACAAGGACTGATACTAACATGCAACAAGTCACAGATAACCAAATTTGGTTACAGCATGTACTTATCGGATCCAGCCCCATGATATCTCCCCATCCCAGCATCATTTTGTGCTCTTGGATCACTGTTGCTATATTTAAATGATTTGTACTCTCCCCCTGCTAGTCCTAGTCGAAATCAGTGTGGGCGGTTCTTACCTTGTTCATCTTCTAAGTGAAGGCTTCTTTAATTTATTCAATTGAGGCATCCTCTGACTTCTCTGCTGTGAACTGCATCAGATGTTTATTCTAGTTAACTTCATAACTTCTGGAATTTAAATAAAACTGGCACCATCTCCTCCTATGCTATCCAGCCCACGAGTTAAGAACTGTCTGTCAGTTGGTGCTCTGTGTCTCCCCACTTTTAGAGGCGATGTGGGTGATGACTAGAAACAGGGCCTATTCTGTGGTGGCACTTCATGTTTGGAATGCCCCTCCCCTTGAGGCTCTCCCGGTGCTTACTTTCTTTTATGTGCCAAGCACATATCTTTTTACCCAGGCTTTTAATTAGGGGGTTTATCTTACCAGCTTTTTAATGATCTGTTTTATGGGTAGTTTTTATATTACTTATGTCCAATGGCTTGTTTTTTATGTTATAGTGATTTTAATTGTAAGCCATCTTGAGCAGGATCCCGAAGAGGTGGGATAGAAATATCCTAAATTAAGTAAATTAAAAAAATTATTAGGAGCAGGCATTCAGTGGTATGAAAGATGTCATAATGGGATATTGGAAAAGTATCTGATTCTGTATGAATTACATGAAGCTGACTGAACAGAGATTGAGATTCTGATAGTTTCCTTCCCCTTCTAATTTCATGTCTGCTTGAGTCAGACTTCACAAATTGACAGTGTTGCCACTAAATATTTTTAATATATGAGAGAGAGAGGAGATGGAGGTAGAGACAGAGATGGTTATGTCCCTTGTTCAGTGTCCCATAAATCATTGACAGTGACGCATTTGAAGTCTGCACAGCTTTTCAATGCTTTTCCTCACTAATTCTCAGCACAGGATTTTGATTTTTTCTTTCTTTCTTGTACTTTAGATTTTGGTCTTAAAGACAGACACTCAGGATCTTGTTGCCTCTTTCAGAGTAACAACAGGCACCAGCAATACTACAGCTATTAAATCCATAGAATTTGCACGGAAAGGAAGGTGAGTTGAAGAATAGCTGATAGTGAGAGCACAGATATAAGGTTTTTCCTATTAAGTGAGTTTTCCCAATATTTCTTCTTCCATAATTGACACTGAAGGTAGTAGATCATAAAGAGTTGAGTTCCCTGGGGTTGCTAAGTACCCATGTTTACAGATGGAATTGGCTCTTGTGTTTGCCTTTAAAATCACCATTCTGCTTTTGGCACTGGGAATCTTGGAATTAAAGGTGTTTATGTTAGAATTGTGCTTGGAATGTTATTCTTGCACAAGATTCATGAATTTTAAGTCAGGTGCAGGGATCAGACTCTTCAGAAACACTTTCAAACAGGCTTATGAATTTTAATGTCCTTGTTGCTTGCACAAGAGCTCTTGGAATATGACAGAGCAGCACATTAATGTCCAAAGCATAGCTAATATGAGAAATGGCTGAATTATAATTCAGAAGACCTTCGACGGGGCGCCATTGGTGCCAGCGCCGGAGGTGAGGAGTTTGGGAGTGCTCCTGGATCCCTCCTTAACTATGGAGGCCCAGGTAGCAGCCACTTCTAAGTCGGCCTTTTACCATTTTCGGCTGATCAGGTAGTTGGTTCCCTTCCTAGACTGCGATGACCTGGCTACAGTGATCCATGCGATGGTCACCTCGAGATAAGACTACTGTAACACGCTCTACATGGGGCTGCCCCTGTTGCAAATCCAGAAGCTGCAGCTAGTGCAGAATGCTGCGGCCAGGCATCTGATGGGTCTCCCGAGATGGGAGCACATCCGACCTGTGCTGAAAGCACTGCACTGGCTGCCAATAGCATACCGAATTTGCTTCAAGGTGCTGGTACTTACCTTTAAAGCCCTATACGGCCAGGGTCCAACATACCTGAGGGACCACCTTTCTCCACACACCACCCGGAGAGCACTACGGTTGGGGTCACAACATTGTTTAGTGATTCCAGGCCCCAAGGAGGCCAGGCTCATGGCAACCAGGACCAGGACCAGGACCTTTTCTGTGGCGGCTCCTACTTGATGGAATGAGCTCCCGGAGGAGATCAGGGCCCTGTGGGACCTTGTACAGTTCCACAGGGCCTGCAAGATGGAGCTCTTCCGCCAGGCTTTTGATTAGGAGCTTCCTACCGCTTCCATCAACTATTACTATCAGTAACATCGGGGTAGCAGATGACTGTGTGTGGAGATCGAAATATAGTAGCGCTTGAGACCGAACACCGCTGATTTGGGATTCGGTGTTATGTCTGTAGTACGCCATCTGAAATTTAATTGGAAGATCGACCGAACAATATTATTCTGAGCACTTTATTGTAAGTTGTAACATGATTGTTTTATCTTGTTTTTATATGTTTGGGCACATGGTGCCCCTGTGAGCCGCCCTGAGCCCGTTCTCAGGGAAGGTTGGGGTAGAAGTACAACAAATAAATAAATAAGGAGTCTTGCAAACTCTGGCAGGGATCCAGTGACCTGTGTACTGAAGCTTTCTCAAACAGCAGCCTCAATGCTGTGCAGAAAACAGCTTTTTAAAAGGAAAGGTCTTTCAAAAGTAGTTTGTATTATGATGGAAAGGGCTAAAATGTTGGATTCTGGCCTCTGTCTCTTTTCTCTTGCTTATGTAACGTATTATAGAGGAGTGTCTCAAGATTGCGCTTTTGATGATATCATTACAAGATTTTATGTATCTTTTCTGTTCCTCAGTTGCTTTCTAATAAATACAGCTGATCGAATAATCAGAGTCTATGATGGTCGGGAAATCTTGACCTGTGGTAGAGATGGAGAACCAGAGCCAATGCAGAAACTTCAGGATTTAGTGAACAGGTAGGATGATGAAGGAAGAACCTGTCTTGAGAGTGGTGTGTTTTGCTTTGCAGGTTCCAACTTCACTACAAAACAGGATCCTTCAGCGGGTCCTCTGAAGTAAGTTGCTGCTTTGCAAGCCTTAAAAAAAAATAAAAAAAATTTATAGGCCTTCTGCCTCCAAAAATTTAATATGTAATTCCAAAGGAGTGGACTCAAGAATGATCATACAGCTGAAATGGCTTCCTGGCTCTCCCGGCCTACCCTAAGGAACTTGCCCAGTCTTCCTGGCTAAGTTTCTACTGAAGTGCTGGATATGGTCTCTAGCAGACAATCCTGAAACTGTATGGGTATTACTGTGATGATGAAACTTCACTTAGCACAATTACCAGTCTCTTCTCCTATGTTTTGTTCTCCATCTCTTTGCCCTTACTGGTCCATTCTTTCTGTCCTTACACTTTTCTGTAAGTTTAGGTACGTCCTGGTCTGTAACATAAAGTAATTGAACACAAAGTCTGCAAAAATGTAATGGAAAGGCAAGTAATATATTAGTGCATATTATGAAAAGCACTTGCAGGTTTGCAGATACAGTTACTGAAATTAAGGAAATACATCCTAGTAACCCATTTGAGTAATTCAAATTTCATAAATTGCTCTTTGTTGCTTTGGAATACCTGGCCTCTCATTGCACCAAAAGCATCTTTCTACAGTTGCCACCTTTGGCTCTTACCTAGAAACCCTTTCTTCTCATTAGTGCACAATGTTAACAAGCGAAATTATTCTGTGAATTGCTTTGTCTGCAGGACACCTTGGAAGAAATGCTGTTTCTCTGGTGATGGGGAATATATTGTTGCAGGGTCAGCACGTCAACATGCTTTATACATCTGGGAGAAGAGCATTGGAAACCTAGTGAAAATCCTTCATGGCACCAGAGGGGAGCTGTTGCTGGATGTAGCAGTAAGTGTTTCTATTACTTGTTCTCAGTGGATTAATTTTGTCAGAATCAATTGGCTCAATCTGTTTTTTAATCACTTTTCTTCTGCCCCACTCTATTCGCTCTGTATCTTCTAGTGGCATCCTGTCCGACCTATCATTGCTTCCATTTCCAGTGGCGTGGTATCCATTTGGGCTCAAAATCAAGTGGTAGGTAGTGTTATCAATGCATTTTCTTACCATTTAAAACATTTCCATTTCCTTGAGTGACTCCCTTTTCATTGTTTTGAATCAGTACTCTGGCAGTAATATTTTTTTCACCAAAGAAGCAGCATCCTTCTAAAGATAAGTGTGCAGAAAGAAGATCAAATGTGCATTTTCACTCCAGACTGCTGGAAAAATTCACTGCTAATAACCAGAGAGATAGTTACGATACTCTTTTTCATCCCTTTCAGTATTTTTTTTCTGTGTGGCTTTGAAAGAGAATCCAGCACAACTAATGAGTCCACTTATTTAAGCAGGCCTTGTGATTTAGAATTTCAAAGAAGGGCTAGTCCTGTGATTTTGCATGTGGTTGGAGATGCTCACTGCAGAGCTAGGATGTTTAGTGCTGTTTAGTGGGTATAATGTTCTTTGAATTTGCGGTTTAGGAAAACTGGAGTGCCTTTGCTCCTGATTTTAAGGAGCTGGATGAAAACGTAGAGTATGAAGAGCGGGAATCTGAGTTTGACATAGAAGATGAAGATAAGAGTGAACCCGAACAGACAGGTAATCTCTAAAATAAATCAATACAATTGTGTGCACTAATGAAAATTCACATAATCTAATGCAAGAGATGGGCAGATTTAGTTGTTTTTATTGTACCTTTCCTTTTTCTCAAAACATAATAAAAGATACATTACAACATTTCAACTGTACAGTAGACGCAAGCAGCAGCAAAACATCATATGAGAGCAGTTAGATTGTCAGACTAGGACCTGGGAGATCCAGGTTTGAATTCCCAGCCTACCATGGAAGCTTGCTGGGTGATGGTGTTAACATGTGAAAAGAACCTTGTGACGGTGCCACCCTGCAAATGAATAACATGAGCAAATGCCCATTCTCACACATTCTCTGTGGTGATTTTCACCTTGTGGAACAGTTCTGAGCTCAGGAAGGTTCCAATATGTATCCTTGTGTAGAGTGTACAAAAGTAATTTTCAAGAGGGCATTTTTGTAAAGGGATTAGAATTGTAGTAGAGTGGAACAATTCAGGGAGCACTTTTATAAAAAGGATACGATTATAGTCTACTGCAGTGTTTGTTGTAGGCATTATCTTATTTTAACTGCATTGTCTTCTTCCTTTGGATTCCACTGTCAGCATTGTTTATGGTATCGCTTGCCTTAGTTTGTACTCAAGCTGTTTTTTAATTATGTAATCCTATTGCATTGTTCATTGGATGTCAGATTGTATTGTTTTTATAGTCTGTAATCCACTGAGTCTTGGTGATAAAGGAGGGCTACAAATAAGGAAAATAAATAAACCTTTCCTCCAGTACTGCTAAAGTGTGTTTGTTGGAGCAGGGGGGAGGAGACAAGTATCTCTATCTTGCCTGTTCTGTAATAGCAACTTTTGGGAAGCAGTATCAGAGAAAGGTTTAATTGCAGTCCTCCTTTGTCACTGCTTCAGTTTCATTTGGAGTATCCTGAATCTGCTTTTCAATCAAAAATCTTGGGATCTCTTGTGTCATCTCTGATTTGGCTGTTGCACAGCCAAGATAACTTGAAACGTCGGTAGAAAGTGTGCTAGATAAAGCAAATTTATAACTGCCACCTAAAGATTCTGACTTGCTAGGTAGGAGATATCCTCATCCTTTTAGCTGATACAGAAATGGTCATTGCTTGATGGATAAATATTTTGGTATGTGTATAATTCTGTACATTAGTGTTTGTGTTGAACTCATTCATCATAATAATAATAATCTTTCAGTTTATTGATCGCTCAATCCTTACAGAGCTGCCGGCTCTAAGCGATTTACAGTTACTCATGTGTAGACACAGGACTAACAATGATGGGGGTAAGGGAGGACAACATATATTATTTTTAATCACACACACTTCGCAGTCGACAGGGAGTTTGGTCAGCTGTAAGCATCAGACGTGTCCCGGCAGCATTCTTTAGTCGGCGTCGCTTGATGTCGTCAGCATTTTCTCGGTTGCAGCGCACCACTGCCACCGTCTGGCCGGAATGGCCCATTGCAGGCTTTTCTTTGAAGCTGTGTAGATCTCTCTCCACTTTCCCACCGGGGGGTTAAGTGTGCCCACCCTCTCTAAGGAATGGTACCCATTTTATCTACTCGCCGAAGCTTTCGAACCGCTGGGTGGATGGTGAGCTGGGGACACGACTGGTAGCTCACACCAGTGCGGGGCTCGAACTGACAGCAGTCCTGTTCAGCTCAGATGTTTAACCAGAGGATAAATCCCCTGTGCCACCGCTCCCCTTCATGTTTACTATTCAGGCATTAGTTTGCCAAGGGAATGCTTCTGTTCCCCCTAATTTGAGATTTAAACCTTCTCTGCTTGGCAGGTGCTGATGCGGCAGAGGATGAGGAAGTGGATGTAACCAGTGTAGATCCCATTGCTGCTTTCTGTAGCAGGTAAGCATGATAAAAGGAAGATGTTAAAAGGATAACTTGTGCTAATCATGCAAATAACTTTAAACTGTCTTTTAACCCAGTTAAAGAAACCTTGGTTGATTAAGTATGTGACATTTTTTTATATACGTTTTATTTATGAGTTTTGATACAATCTTACACTGGATATTTTAACAGTCTTGTACAACACGATAACAAGCTTTTTGGAGTCACATATATTAGTTATTATTATATATATTGATTTTTATCTATCCAGGTATAAAACTTTTTCCATCTACATTTGAACGGTGCATCATTTCTGCCCTTTAAAACTGTAGTTTATCCATTTCTACCACATCCAATATTTTATAAATTATTTCCTTCCTAGAGGGTATTCCCTCTTGTTTCCAATACTTGGCATAAAGAATACGTGCTGCTGTATTTATATATATAATGACATATTTATCCTCTATTCTGTATTCATCAGGTAGCATATTTAACAAAAAGAGTTCCGGAGATAAGGGTATATCAATCTTTAGAATTTCTAAAATAAGATTATGTACCTTATACCAATAACGCTGTGTTACATTGCATCTCCACCAAATGTGGTAGAAGGTGCCCACATTATTTTTGCATTTCCAACAATTTTTTTGACATATTTGGATAACATTTTGCCAGTTTATCTGGTGACCAATGCCACCTGTGAAACATTTTCCTTATATGGAATTGACCTTAAATATTTCACTGATTTCCATATATTGGACCAAGTATCTATATCTGTAGTACATCCAAAGTCTTGCATCCACGTAACCATGCAATTTTTTACTGTTTCATCATGTACATAGTCGTCTAGGAGAAAGTTGTATATCTTTTGTATTAACTAGTCATTTGTAGATAACCATAACTTGTCTAGATCGGATTTACCTCGATAGAAACCCTTACTTTTATCTAGATCATATCTCGCCTTCAACTGCATATTCTCCCACTAAGTCAGGTTGACATTATGCTTTATCAAAGTTCACAAGTATGTGACTTTTAATCAATCTGTTAACTGAAGTTTTTTGATGATGCATGCACATTATGAGAGACAAGCTCTTAGAAGTATTCTTTCCTGAGTGATGAAAAAGGAGGGACACCTTTTTCTGAAGCCTACCACCAATGGGTTTTCTACAAACCTGTGTGAAAAATATTGAAGCTTTTAAGTGGTTAAGTGCGCGGACTCTAATCTGGGAGAACCAGGTTTGATTCCCCACTCCTCCACTTGCACCTGGCTGGATGACCTTGGGCAAGCCGTAGCTCTGATAAGAGCTGTTCTTGAAAAAGAGCAGTTTCTGTCAAGAGCTCTCTCAGCCTCGCCTACCTCACAGGGTGATATGTTGTGGGGAAGGGAAAGGAGTTTGTAAGCCGCTCTGAGACACCTTTGGGTAGTGAAGGGCGGGGTATAAATCCAATCTCTTCTTCTTAAGAGTAGGCTAGCCAGTTAGTTAAGGACATGATTAAAACACGTTAAATCAAAACATATTAAATAATCTAATCATCTTGTCCACTACATTGTGTAACTGAACAACAACAACAAATATAAATGTATCATTGTGATACCTGTGTGATAAGCATTCTCTCCTTAAGCCAGTATTCTGTACCTGATTTCCAATTCTATAAGAGGAGTTTCCTGAATTGAAAGGTCTTTAGAATGGTCCAAAATATATTGGACGTGATATTGTGGACGTTTAGACTCTGAGAGTGCAGTCCTAAGCAGAGTTACGCCTTTCTAAGTCAATTGAAGTCAGTGGGTCTAGAAGGGTGTAACTGCTTAGGATCCACTGTAGTTTGCTTTAAAAAGATTGTTATAGTTCTGTTCCATTCTTCCCTTTTTAGTTTCTCAGAATTGATTGTTCTTTTTCTTTTTGTTTCTTTGCACGTGTGTGTGTGTGTGTGTGTGTGTGTGTGATGCCTGGAAGTCATGGTGACTTCTGGCAACTCCTACTGGGGCACAGAGGAAATTCAGAGAAGTGGCTTGATAGCCTGCCCCTGGCCTCCTGGCCCTGGTATTCTAAGGAGGTCTCCCATTTGCCAGCGTTGGCCCTGCTTAGCTTCTGAGATCTGATGAGACTGGGCTTGCCTGGACTATCCAGGTCAGGGCAGAATTGATTGTTCCTGAGTGGTGCATAACTGATTCTTCCCAGACTTTTAAAAATTAATTTATTTTGGTATCTCTGTCTCCATCTTCCACTTAATTTGGGGGGGTTGATAGATATAGGACATGTTGTAAGTTCTCTTTTCTTCACAAAGCTTTCAGTTTCTTTTTCAGTCTTTGTTGTTGTCAGAGTGTTATTTTTATGCTGGGTAACCATGGGCTGTATCATGCACCCAAAAAGTCAACTCAGAGGAAGGGAGATGTGTTATCTCATCAGTTTATTCCGTAAGCTGTGATTCACTACAGCTACCTGTGAATGTACACTAAGTGACAAACCTGAATTTCCATCTGTATAATATGTGAAATGGCCATGTAGTATGTGCCCATGAGGCTCATTTCTGTGGTTGTGATACTTTTTTCCCCCAAACTGTGCTAAGAACCGAAGAAGAGATGAATGCGGAAAGGAATTTTATAGCATGAGTTGCCCATAATTCATGGGAGAAAATATTATTTCCTTACCAGTGATGAAGAACTGGAAGACTCCAAAGCTTTGTTGTATTTGCCTATTGCTCCCGAAGTGGAAGACCCAGAAGAAAACCCCTATGGCCCTCCACCAGATGCGGTTCAGACTGCCATACCTGATGAGGGAATAGGCTCCGAAAAGAAGAGACAGTCACTGTCTGATGGACCTCAGCCACCAAAGAAGAAACCTAAGACAACCAATATAGAACTGCAGGGAGTACCTAATGATGGTGAGTGGGAACTGCCATCCTTTTGCTCATGCAGGTATCATCTGACATCTTTATAGACTGAAGAATGGGCAGGGATACTAATTCTGTTTGATATTTTTTAAAATGTTGCTTGAGACAGTAGTTCTCTTCAACTACCAGTTCTTACCAGGCATGACTATACATTTCTTTAGGGAGGAATGATTAATTTCTAAACAGCAACATACTAATGCATTTATTTCTGTGCTGTGAGAATAGCTGATCTTACAGGTTAAAAAAGCATCTTAAATATGCCATCTGCGTTTCCAGTGTCTGCTTTTCCTTGTGGTAAAATAATACTCGGTTTTGGAGTAGTTCACACAATGTAATTCCTACACAAAAGTGATTTTCATGTAGGAATTTAATGAATCCCATATATAGTTTCACAAATATAGTTTGGTCTACAAATGCAGCACAATGAGGTGGCAGTGTGCTGAGGGCATAGAAAAGATTTTTTGAGGGGAGGGGTGTCATTTTTTGGCCCTCCTTTACATTAATAACTCCCTGTAAATGGAAAGCTAACCCATGTGAAGGGCTAGGCTAGATTCTTTCACCCTGAAGCGCTCAGTTATTATGTAGGAAAGCATTAAAACGGTTACTCTCCCCACCTACAACCTTAAGTGGCACAGCCTGTTCTATTATTTCATTCTGCGGCATGTACTGTAGAAAATTTGTACCCACTAGCCTGTGCACAGGACTATTACAGTTAGGTAGTGAGTTTGCCATGTTAAGCGCTCTGCAGGGAACCTTTACCTTTACCTTACAAATGTGGCAGTGTGCTGAGGGCATAGTCTACACATTCAGATTTTTTGAGGGGAGGGGTGTCATTTTTTGGCCCTCCTTTACATTAATAACTCCCTGTAAATGGAAAGCTAACCCATGTGAAGGGCTAGGCTAGATTATTTCACCCTGAAGCGCTCAGTTATTATGTAGGAAAGCATTAAAACTGTTACTCTCCCCACCTACAGCCTTAAGTGGCACAGCCTGTTCTATTATTTCATTCTGCGGCATGTAGTGTAGAACATTTGTACCCACTAGCCTGTGCACAGGACTATTACAGTTAGGTAGTGAGTTTGCCATGTTAAGCGCTCTGCCAGGGAGTTGCTGCTTTCAAGAGCTTCTGACAACCATGAGACTGGTAGGTCTAATTTATCCTATACTGCTGTGTTTAAGAAGCAGTCGGACTGGAATATACCTATGTCTGTCAGAGTTCACAACGACTATAAAACTTTTAGATCTAGTAAAGGAACTGCCCATAGACCCCACCATTTCCTGTGATTGTATAACAGAACATGTAGAGAGGATGAGTGTTCCAGAGTACTGCAGTGTTGACATGGCAGGTCATGAGTTCACAGGAACAAACAGCTTATACCAATAAGCCTGACCATTTGAAATACTGGTTAACCAAATAAGACCCCCGAGTTTGTTTTCTCAGATCTTACAGTCAATATATCTAATTCTCAACAGGGCCAAATCGGTGGACACTTAAAGCCAGAGATTGGAGTAAAAAACAGACAAGACAGCTCCTTCTACAAACCTGAGAAAAGCCCCAAGTTTGCAGAAAAATCTGAAATCTAAAAAAAATGTATTGAGGATTTTAAAAAAAACAAACCCAAATAATAGAACCAGCACCTGTCATGTGGCCATTGTAAACTCAGTGGCCATTGTGGGGGTTACTAGGCAACCACAACAGTATTTCCAGTTTTTCAATCCTTGATTTCTGTCATTGAAACTTAGGGGGGAGAGAGAGCAAGGCCCTTTCCAGGGCTGTTTTGGCCGTTGTGGGAGGACTTATCAGCCCAGGCCTGGCAAAAACCACCAGATGACTATGTGACTTGCCTGACTCACCCAGGCCTGGCTACTTGCTACTGTTCAACAACAGCCACCTCACAAAAGCCAGGTGGTGTAGTGGTTTGAGTTTCAAACCAGGATCTGAAAGACCCTGGTTTGAATCACCAATTTGCCATGGGAGCTCACAGGGTGATTTTGGGCCAGTTACATATTCTCTTTCTCAGCCTAACCTATCTCACAGGTGTTTTGTGAGGATAAAACAGAGTGGAGGAGAATGATGTAAGCTGCTTTGGGTCCCCATTGTGGAGAAAGATGGGATACAAATGAAGTAAATAAATATAGCTGAAGATGGGAGGTAGATAAAAGGTTGGTTGATGGATGGGAAGGAGAAGGAAACGGAAAGCTAAGAATATGTGGATTTCTGGGGGAGGGAATGAGAAAATAGTGTGTGTGTGAGGGGGGTAAACAGGAAAAGTGAGGTCCTCCTAAAGTCCTTGCTGATTCCTCACCATGCAACTGGCCCCAGTTCTGTGGCCAGCATCCCTGGGTAGAGGCTGCCAGGGGGGAGGGAAGGAGGGAAAGCTGAAGGTGGGGAGGAGCAGATAAAGATGGTCTGGCTTATGGGTGGGGAGCATAGGAGGAAGCAGGAAAAGGGGAGAGGCTTTGGGGGCTTTCAGGGAAGGAAAGAGGAAATAACGGGGGAGGGGTAAATGAGCTTCCCCTCGCAAGTCCTTGTGGGTCCCCTGCTTGTCCCTGTCTATTTTGGAGCTAGTAGTATACTAGTGTATCCCCAGGTGCTTGGACTGTTTATCTAGCTGCCTTCCTAAGAAAAGGAAGTAGTTCACTAAGCTGAGAGCACTCAATGGAAAATATCTCAAATGAGATGAAGTGTTTGTTTAGTAATATTTGGTATTATGCATTTCCTTTAAAGCATCTGGACCAGCTGCTCTCTTGATCTGAGTGACCCAGTAACTTTATTGTTGTGATTCTAGACAATGAACTGCTGGTGAACTCACTTTATTGTAATTCCTGGCTCACCCCACTGTTCTTGCTTGGCTCAAACTACTGTTTTGTTTTCTAGTTCCTTTTTTTAAAACAGACCAAATCCTGAGTTTCCCCTTTCCCATGTCATAGCATGAGCATCAGAGAGTTGCAAAGTAGATAGGGGAGTGAATTTGCTGTTTTGTTTTATATAAAACTTCAGATTTGAAGTTAATTTCCCAAACATGCCTCTTCCTTCACAGAAGTCCATCCGCTGCTGGGTGTGAAGGGAGATGGTAAATCCAAGAAGAAGCAAGCAGGCAGGCCTAAAGGATCAAAAGGTAAAGAGAAAGATTCTCCATTTAAACCGAAACTCTACAAAGGGGACAGAGGTTCTTTACCTCTGGAAGGAGCAGCGAAGGGTAAAGTGCAGGCGGAGCTGGGACAGCCCTTGCCAGGTAAGGACCCAGCGTGAGCGTCTGCTTGCTTGGTGACCTTGCTTCATACGGACATGGCATAGTCTTAGCGTTTTGGTTCTCCCAATGGCAGTTGCTTGCTAAGTGTTTAGCTGCTCTGCTCTCAAGGATGGACAAAATTTTTCTTCTGAGAATTGTCCCATTTCGCCTCCTTACCATAGCCATTGGTACTCAGTGCTGCAAGTATAGAATGCAAATATTTTAAAAGATAATTTTGGTACATTAGAGAGCAGTAAACCTGTTGACTCTTCTCAGTCGCTTACTACATTGGGAATGCACACAAATTTGGAGTCAAGAAGGGCTTTCTGAGTCAAATACAGAAAATTAAAGTGGCATGGGGCATGCTGAAGCTAAAAATCAGGTTCTGTGGCACAATTATGAGCATATCAAAAACATGGAGAGGAGCTAGCCCCCAGTAGTTATTAAGCTGCATTGCTTGTAAAGCATGTGGTGCTGAGAGACTCCATCTCCCTGTTTTAGATCATACTTGCCTGTGTAACTGTGGCATCCACCCGTATAAAATACATTATCAGCCATTTCTTGACATTCTGTCACTGTTCAGTGTGACTAAGAAACCAAAATGAAGCTGTGCAATAGTGAGTGGAGCTATGAAGACAAGAGCAGTCTTGATTTTCAGGGACTGCAGAAAGGTTTAGCCCCCACATCCTGTAGTGTTCCAGGGTGCCTTCTTTTACTCCCCTGAGTGTATGGCAAAGTAAGATGCTGCACATGGGGACTGAGAGCAGAATCTGCCCTTCCTGTCTTGACACTTGAGTGGACTGGTCCATTTTGTCAGGGATCCACAGAAAGAGCAGTGCGAGTGTTTGGAGAGCACAGAGAGACTCTGCATTCCTCCAGAGTCCTTGAAATACAAAACCCTACCTGACCATCCATTGTGATGGACATTTTGCTGGCAATATGTATTTGAAAAATTCCTCTTGCTTCTAAATAAGGGATTTGTAATGCCATCCTCCCCATGAAAATCATATTCAGTGGGCATTTAAATTGTACTGGAAACTAGCTGCTATGTCTTAGAATGGCTTAATATTTATGGGCTACCTCCAGACATGCATATTCTGCATGAAAATATTCTTCCCTTGTGAAAAATGTGTTCCTTTTTATTGTGGCTTTGCTTTGCATCAAAGTTAGCCTGTTTACAAGTAGGCCAGAATACAGTTAAACTATATATGTTGCTTCACAGAGTACATGCCTGTAAACTTTAAAGAAATATTGAAGCAGCTGTATCTGAAGAAGTGAGCAGTGACTCACGAAAGCTCATACCCTGCCACATATTTTGTTGGTTGTCTTTAAGGTGCTACTGGACTCTTGCTCTTTTGTTGTGCTTCCTGACAGTTATCTTTCTTTGAATGCCCACTTCGACGCACCCTGACTAGTTATATTTGAAAAGGGCATTGCTAAAGAAAAAACGTTTGTTGTTGTCTTACGTAACCTAAGTGAGTTAAGGGTTATTGCTTGTTTTTAGTAAATGATAACCATTCCTCCCCTCCATCATCCTGATCGTGTTACTGGTTCTTGTGTATGTACCTTGTGTGCGTGCACACACATGGTCTTGTAGGTGTCGTGCAAGTTGGACTACACCCAGCTTTTAATCCTCCAGTCTTCCGTTGTAAAATGCAAAGCAGCTTTCTTCTTGATTGCTTGGGAAAGTGCAGACAGTAGGAGAAAGTGGGTTCATAGGAACCAGACCTACCAGAGATTCAAATGGGGTGCACATGCAAAATTTTGTATGTCCTTGAAGCTCAGTAGCTATTGCTGTGAATATTTAGTTGCTAGAACTGAGATTTTGTAAAGCCCTTTCTTTCCCCTCACTGCTGGTCCTGTTACCCACCTTGCTCATTGTCCTTCCTGCTCTGCTCCTGTTGTGTTGCTTTTAGAGTATTAATCAGCACCTGGGGATTTTCCTTACAACTAATACAATAAAAGATGTGACAGCCTTCTCAGGCGAAACCTGTTTGCTGTGTTGTGTGTCGCTAATTTAATATATTGCAGCCTCTTAAAGAAACTGCAGTGAATGTATTCAGGGTCATGGAATGCCTTGTTAAAAAAGAAGACAACACAAACCTTTAGTGTTCTGCAGAAGTGCTTCAGGGATTGGATGGCATCATACTATACGTGTCCCTGAAGTCTTAAAGGCTGCAATTATAACTGTTTCCTGGGAGTGAGCCCCATTTAATAAAACTCTGATTTGACTGCTCTCAAAAGTAAATTCAGTTACCATGAGGGGTATCATTTAATCTTTCCCCTTGCCAATTCTGCCAGTAATATTCTTTGTGGTTATTTCAATGTGCATTTACTAGGAATCTTGGATGGCAGATTCAGATGTTCTTGTCATACTTTGTAATTTGCTTGCTGATTGACCGAATAGACCTTATTAATATTTTCAATCCTCCTTGAGTCTCACTGAGAAAGGCAGCCTGTGAGTGAAGCTAATAATAATAACAATACTCATATGTAATACTTACATGCATTCTTGACCTTGGGGAGAGTCAGGTTAATTGCCAAACACATTTTATTTAATTTTTCTGGATTTGTTTAAACGTTGACTGCTATGAAGTCTGTGTGACTTAATGGGAGAGCAGTACAAAGTTATGTAGTCAGTTTCTTGTGCAAGGTGGGGAGCCTGCCAGTGGCAGTTGGAGAGCTGGAAGAGAGCCTTCTTCCTGGTGTCATTTTATAGTCAAATTGATCCGTTGGGCTGCCCAGCCATCAGTGAAGCAGCTGATCTGTACAGCAGACTGTACTCCTCCCCTTAAACTGCTGTCTGAAGAATGGAGTGGCCTTTGCAACTGCATGGCAGGCACCCACTTGGCAACCAGGTCTGGAATTCTGTAAATAGAAGGCCTGATGGTGTCCTTAACGGTTGGCGTCAATTGTTATGTAAACCACACGAGCAAGGCATCAACCAGAGAGCAAATGAAACCTGTTGGTTTCAGGAATTAAGGTTTGGCTCAAGTTCTGTCTGTTGACCCATGTTGATGACCTGCCGTTAGGTACAGTCATCTCAAGTCCCATTTTGAATCCTAGCCGCCACCTTGGAAAGTATATTTATTTACTTACGTACCTCCTTCATTTATACCCTGCTGTTCTCCCCAGTGGTAACCATAAACAGCTTACATCATTCTCCTCTCCTCCATTTCATCCTCACAACAACCCTGTGAGGTGGGTTAGGTTGAGAGTGTGTGACTGGCTCAGGGTCACCTGGGAAGCTTCCCTGGCTAAGTCGGGATTTGAGCCTGAATCTCCCAGATCTGATTTCGACACTCCAACCACTGCATCACACTGGCTTTCAGGTCTCTGGGGGCTTATAGCTGTGACTCATTCTCCTTCACTGACTTCCTCAGAGCAGCTTTTTCATCCTAGGAGGAAATTATTTGTTGGACACCTCTCTGAGCAGGCTTGTTTGCATCTCTGATGGCCATGCAATATTTTCCAGTATCAAGCAACAAACAATGCTTTAGCTGCAAACAAAGCTTCATTCTCTGCATACAGTTGTAGGAAAACCTGTGAAGACTCCCTTATATAAAATCAAGTGTTTTTGTGGTATCTAGATTCTGCTAATAGAAATAATTGCTTGAACTGTATTGAAAATATTGTCATCAGTGCTCAATCTTTTTTCCCCAGCAGGTGGTGGGATCTCAGAGCTCTTATGAAGGCATCCCCTACCCTACCTACCCTTTATTTCCTGTCTTGGTACCATGAGGTGGATTAAGATCGAAATGGTCAGATAATGAACTGACTTTATGGTGATATGGTAGGGACAAGCAACTGTGCTGCCTATGGATACAGGGGATGACTTTTTAAAAGATGCAAATTGTGGAAGAGGAAAATTTGGTCCCGCTGAACCTCTCTTCTTGCTAACCATGAAAGAAGGTACTGACTCTCAGGAAAGAAGGTTTGTACAGAACCTGGTGGAACTGCTTTCTGTTTAGAGCTCCCTAACTGTACAGAGTCTTGACACAGGACAAGGAGATCACTGTGCTGCCAAGCTGAAGTCTTTCATTATGTTTCTTTTACATATTCTGGTTCTGAAGATGATGAATCCAGATATTTTGTTTCCACAAATACCTGTCACAGTGCTGTGGGTCCCAAGAACATTTCTATTGCGTCGTCGCTAATTGAAGTAGATTATTGTGTGCATCACTGTTTTATCTGTTACCCACTCTGGCTTGCAGTAGTTGGTAGATGTGCTCTTAAAGCTGAGATGCCCTGTGTATAACTTTGAAGGGGAATTGCCTTCCAAGTTGCCCTTCTGTTTGTACATGTTTGGAATAGACACTTGGGGTCAAGAAGCCTGCAGAGAATGACCTGATTACAAATGGGGTTTTCAGGGAATGGGTATTCTCTGCAAGAGTGGGGGAGAGAGTAATAAGCAGCCATTTATCTAGACAGAGGAGGAAGGGCCTTGGATATAGCATGCAGGCGAAGCACAAGTGACTTGCACATCTCACCATGCTTTTTGCATCTCATGCACACCATAGAAATGCACACATCTCCCATAGGGAGATAGTTGGTCACCCCACACTTTGAGATGTGTAAAGAGAATCAGCATCTACCTGCAAGAGATACATGTAGCTCTGGAGTACAGATGAGACATTGAAGCATGGCCATAGAATGTATTGAGTCACCCTTTTCTTGTGCATTTGGGTTCAGTCACTTGGCCAACACAAGAAAGCACTGGCCTCTGCATCTTCATTTCCTGCTGTTTAATTGTTTTATACAAAGTGATATCTATTTCCTAACTTAAGAACATTATTTCCCCCTTCAGAATAGAAAAGCTCCTTTCTCCAGGTATAACAAATAATTTTACAAAATCCAGAAGAATGTATTCATTAAGAGTGACCAAGGTCTGGAGGAGGTTTAAATGCTGAAGAATGGGTACTTAATTCCCAGCTGCAAATACGTCTTTTAGTGCTTTTCCTTTCTGCATGTTGTGCCCCAAGGCCTCTCTCTTCATCTAATGAAACCTTACATGTGCTATTATAAATGTAATGATATCCCTGACTTCAGCCTTCCTGTATCTAATCCTGCCACCCGCAGTCTGCCAGTTCACCCAAAGATCTGAAGGCTGCCTGGGTAACAATTGCTGTTCTGCATGGGGGGGGGGGGGAGAGAGGGAATCCAGCCTTCTTCCATGGTTTATTTTCTTTCACACTTTAAAAAATTATTTAGATACTGCAATATTTTGTACAAAACCAGACAGATGACCATTGCCTGCTAGTTATTTGTAAAGTGGTGCTGTGACATTAGCTTCTGTGTTTGTAAATAAAGAGGTATGTTTTATTTCTTACACACTACGATCCATCCTTCTTTTATAGGACCAGTCTTTTTATGAATCTCTGTGACTCAAATAACAAAGGAAATATTTTGCTTTAGCAAACATCAAAAGCTTAATAATAATAGTTGTTGGTGGTGATGATGATCTATATAGCTAATACTCAGTATAGCTTCATATGTTGGTGATTAAATCTGCAGATGGGGACCATTGTAGATACAAAAGAGATATTTCTGCAAACCTGGGGGGAGGCCCAGGTTTGCAGAAAAACAAAAACCTAAACACAGAACAGTTGTCTATGCAAGCACATGTAACTTTTATCCAAACACATGAGGAGGAGGAGGAGGAGGAGGAGAAGAAGAGGAGAAGGAGGAGATTGGATTTATACCCCACCCTTGACTACCCAAAGGAGTCTCAGAGCGGCTTACAAACTCCTTTCCCTTCCCTTCCCCTCCCCACAACAGACACCCTGTGAGGTGGGTGGGGCTGTGAGAGCTCTGACAGAAACCTCTTTTTCAAGAACAGCTGTGCCAGAACTATGGCTTGCCCAAGGTCATCCAGCAGGTGCAAGTAGAGGAGTGGGGAATCAAACCCGGTACTCCCAGATTAGAGTCTGTGCACTTAACTGCTACACCAAACTGTGAGGCACACGAGGAGTGGGCGGGGGAAAGGAGCAGTTCACTGACCTCTGCTTCCTTTAAACACCAGGGTGCCAAAACTGGAGGCGGGCAGGTGAGTAGCTGTGGGACCCACCAACTCTCCTTGCTATTGATGTGGCAACCCCCCCCACCGCCACTGCCAAGGCAGCAACACTTTGAGTGGGCAGGGGAGGAGGTGTGGGAGTTGTGGCTCCCCCTCCACATCCCAGAGGTGGCAGCTCTGGAGGTGGGCGGAGGAAGGAGGTGTAGAAGCTCAAGTGGCCATGGGATCAGCTTGGTGAGGGAGGGAATGGGATCCCCCCTGTGAATCTGTGGTCCCCATTTGTAATAAGGATTATAATACAAGCTTTTTGAATGGAGGTTAAATTCAGGTGTACCCAATGTTATTAAGTATAAATTGTTTCATGTTGACATGGAAAAAGCTTCAGAACTGGAACTGAAAATGCCTGCAGAATGCATAATATGAATAGTGTGTAGTTGAGTGGTAGAGTCCAAGTGATACTCCTGTATGAACCTTCCCTTTCATTGCTAACCTGCTGAGGTGGTTCAGGAAGAGAGAAAGAACTCTGAAGCCTGTGGCATTGCATCTTTCTTCACCTGACTGCTTTGCCATTGTTGTTTAGGTAAAGAGAATATACAGGGAAGAGAAAAGACAGCCCTAAGTCATGATCTGCCTCAACCTGTCACTCCCTTTCTGCATTTCAAGTCAAGGTTAAAAGAGGTCTGTGCCCAACTAAAAAATGGTGCAAACGTTTCAAGCAGAGGAAGTTTGCCTTTGGAATTCCATTTCTTAATGCTTGTCAGTGTTACGAACCATAACATTTATGATATTCCTTTTCCTCCCCCATCCAATACAAGGTCAGAGAGAGAGAGAGA